ATTATGTACTGTGCGTTATTGAATGCTAGTAAGATGGCAACGAAGTCTCGTTCTTGCTTGATGACTATTGGAGACCAGGATGGGTTGGTGCATGCTATTGCGGCTCTGGGGGATTTTTCGTTAGTTTCTGCTTTACGCTGATAGACTTTCCACGATATGGGAAGGCTTGCTACTTGACCCTCTCTACAATAAGGTTCCTGTATCAGGAGTAGATCTGCATCGTAGGATGTTGCATGAGTGACTGCTTGAGATGTCGCTGCCTGCGCTCTTTGTAGATTAATCTGGACGCATTTTATGGGGCTAAATGTTACTTGGTTGTTGTGGTCTGTAGGCATAGATTGATGGATGTCTGCAGTGCTATTACTCATAGGTTGTGCTGCGTTTGATTCTTTCAACGTACCTGCTGTAGGTGGGACAGGAGATGTCATAGGCGGGGTGGGCGCAGGATATTTTGTTATTACTTCTGTAGTTATAGTCTGCACAGTTGATGCAGGTGGCCATCCCGGATTTGCAGTTCTTGACGTTGTGGCTTCCGGAGCAGTACGCACAGTAGACTTTGTTCTTGCAGTCTTGCTGCGTGTGCCCGAATTCCTGGCACTGGAAGCATCGTCTGGTGTTGAAGAATTCAGCAATTCGGTGCACTCTCCAGCCAAGATACAATCTGGGGTATTGCATGATGCGGTGGAAGGCTGATGGCTGACATTCCAGCACCCATTTGACGCCATTTGCTTTATCTTTTAGCCGGTATAAGACTTTTGTAGTGCTGCTGGTAAGGTTGTGTTCAGAGCCTAGTGCCCGTTCAATGTCCTCCTTGGTGACGTCTAGTTTTACGTCGTCGTGGATTGCGACTCTAGGTAGTCTGACTGCTGGCAGTTTTGTTTTGGCAAATTGTTTGCCTTGCGTGCTTTCTAGTGTCTTTGTGAGGTGGGTGAGATCCTCTTTGGTGGCGCAGTCAACAGCAATCCCCTCCTTCTGGATATTTCTAACTGAGTGTATTTTTACACCTAGTGATGGGAGAGGGAATTTGGCGTTCAGGTGTTCCTTTAGTACTTTCCTTGTGGCGTTCGAGTCTTCTTTTGGGTAAATAAGAAGTGTGTGTTTCGTAGAATGTGATGCCACTTGCGCGTAGGAACGCTCGATAACCGGAGCTGCTGCTGGGTGTATTGTTGGTTGAGGTGGAGAGTAGGAGAGTCCTGAATCAGTATTAACACCTGTGTTGGTTTTAGCTGGAGGTGGAGTGGCAGCAGGTCCTCTGGTGGCTAGAGTCCGGAAGGCCTCTAAAATGGCCAATAGTTTCTTTCTTTGCTCTGTCGGTAACAGGTACTTGTTATTTTTTGTACTGGTGCCAATGTCTTTGGCTTTCTCGTAGAGTGTATTAATCTTTTGTTCGTAATTAAGACTTTCAGTTAATACGATTGTTGCTGCGTCGAATTTGCAAAGGCGCACTGACGCTTCTGCATCAGGCATAGTGCTGGTTTGTGCTGGAAGGAATATGGGTGATGATGAAGTTGAGTATAGCAATCAAGGGGTATTTTGGTGTATTTACCAGTGTAGAAATGCCGCTAGATAAGTTGTATAAGTATACATAAGCACTGGTCATACACTGCTCGATCAGGAAAGTGGGAATACTCTGCTCAATCTGGGAAAGTGACAAGTAATGCAAGTAATACTCTGCTCAATCAAATATGACAGGTAACACACTGCTCAATTAAAACAGTAGCAGTAGAGCTGTACACTTCTTAATTAGTAAAGATCAATTAAAAGTCTATGGGCCGTATAATAAAGGTATAGAACATGATATCACACAGAATACAAGCACTGAAACTATTCTCTGTATAAAAATTAATTCAATCAAATTATTATTATTAGCTAGAAGTATATAACACAAAATATCAGCATAAATACTTAATTAGCTAAATTATTGTAAGCCAGAATTATATAATTATACAACACATTAGGGGGAAAACTTGATTAATTAAATTTTTGTAAGCTAGAAATACATTACACAAGATACTAGCACTTACTGATATAAAACACTCACAGATATAAGTATGGTTAAAATGTATAAAACAGGAAAATATACAAGATACGATCACTGAATCAAATATGACTGAATTAAATATGACAAATACTCTGCTCAATCAAAATATGACAGGTAACACACTGCTCAATTAATAAAGTAGCAGTAGCGCTGTACACTGCTTAATTAGTAAAGATCAATGAATAAGTCTATGGGCCGCATAATAAAGGTATAGAACATGATATCACACAGAATATAAGCGCTGAAACTATTCTCTGTATAAAAACTAAATCAATTAAATTATTATTATTAGCTAGAAGTATATAACACAAAATATCAGCATAAATACTTAATTAGTTAAATTATTGTAAGCCATAGTTATATAACGCACACAGCAAGGAAAAAAATAAAAAAAAAATACTAGCACTTACTGATATATAAACACTCACAAATATAAGTATAGTTAAATGTATAAAACAGGAAAAATATACAAGATACGATCACTGAAACGAATCCTTGCAAAACTGCTAATATTTAGGAGGGTGGTATACAGGATTAAGGAATGAATACGCAGCTAATTTACCAGCTCCTAATTGAACGCACAAAATCATAAGTTTTAAACAGCTATTATTACCCTGATGCTATTTAGGTGACTGCTATTGTGTAAATGTAATGCAATCTTAATTATTGCTCGTAGGATTATCGGATATTTTGTTTACCGGATAATTAAAACAATCCTACCTTGATTGCAGGGCTTCTTCTGCGCTTCCTTTGTTCTCTATGAAGTAAACACAATAATATTTATTAAGCACTAATAGTGCTGAGTACTACACACACACGCTGTAGAACACTGTATTCGCACAACACTATCATTGTATCACTAATTAGCTCACACTACTACGTTAATTGTTGGTTTCAGCTGAGAAAACCGAAGTTTCTGATTCGTACTGCTACGTCACACTGCTATGTGAATTGCTCTTTTCAGCTGGGAAATCCTTGGTCGTTTATCTTCTATGTATTTCATCTGTTGAATTAGGTAATCCAAAAGCGAAGGCACAACACAATTAGAACAGATCACTATAACGCACTAATGAGCACTACACTGTAAGAACTGATGTCAACACACTCACCATGATACACACTACGCTGTGAGAACTGATGTAACACACTAAGATGAATAATTAAGCTTTAAAAAAAAAAAAAAAAAAAAAAAAGTCGTAATTTGCGAACCACTAGTCAGAATATCATCAGATAAAGAAACTTGGATCCGTCTCGATGAGCAGAAATCAAAAATGCTAGCCCTCTCTTGGTACACTAATTAGTTCTACTATAAACACTGTGTATGAAAACGCCCACTTCTCTATTTTTGAAGCATTCTTTGCGGTCACTCCTTAGCGAATTCCGTTGGGGAGGGGGAGACGAGTGCAACGGCCTTTTGCTCAAGGTCAGAGTTCACAATCGCATTCCACACCGTGTGTAAAATCGCAAATTTAATAATATTAAATTCCCTAATTAATAGAACGACTTGAGCTTGGTCTTAAAATGCTCCTGGAAAGCTTACACATCCGATGGTAAAAGTTACTTGAAGATCCAATGAGCGGCGGCGGCTCATATAGAACGGTGGAAAGTTGTAGCTTGCGTAATTACAATACTTTTGCCATTTCAGAGTTTTGAATAATCTGAAAATTCATAAATCATTTTCTATCAATCTCTCTATCACAAATCTGGTATCTTTGTAATCCTTAGATCTTCCTCTTAACGATAATGCGAAATTTGTATGCTTTAGCACAATATTTCCGCAAGATGAGCAGGCAATAAGCGGAGCGATAAAAACGCGTGCGTCTCCTCAGAAGGTTGAGGAGAGACTCGGTCTGAGAATTATTTTAGAAACGCTCAGTGACTTCTACCTAACTGTGGATTATCTGAACCGAAATTATTGGATATTATTTTTGAAGCATAAGAACGATCGGCCTATTAAAATAGACATCAAAGACTTGCGAATTTACTCCCTGCTGATAATGTCTTCAAAGCTCTTGTTGCTCATAACTTTGAAATCCTTAAAATCGGTCAGCTGAGAAACTTCAGGACTAAACCTTTATTACCCATCTTTCAACTTCAACTGATTCCGACCTCTAAAGTTAATGAAATCTACAGTACAGAACGCCTGCTGCACTTCTTGGCCAAGATTAAGAAGTGTAAGAACTTCATCTCCCAATGCTATTAAGTGTCAGAACATTGGAGATTCCTCGCAATGTTGCAAGATGCAACCACGTTGTATGAAGTGTGCGAAGAATCACCTTTTAAGCCAGTGTGAGCTCAAATGGACGGATACCCGCACTTGTTGTAACTGCCTCGGCCAACATGTTAGTTCCTATCGCGGCTGTGAGCATTTTAAGAAGGTAACCAAGAATTTCCCCATTCGTGCTGGAATCAGCTACGCAGCTAATTCCTTTGCCCCTATTAGTCATCCCAAAATGAACTTTTCCCTGGACAGTCCTATGGCTATTCCTCCTGTCTCATGATTCGGATGAAAAAGATTGCGAGAACGACTTTGATTTCGAAACTACTGACTGTATTCAAACAGATACGAGAAATGTTTGGTGCTAGCAATATTAGCAATTTTATCAAACATTTTTCGGAACATGACAGTCAACTCAAAGTTCCTCTCGCCTCCCAAAAATTATTTAAAACTATTTTTATACGCTCAAAGAAAATTGCTGAAACATAAGCAAAATGCAATTACATTACTGCGTTTACTTTACCAGTGGTTTTCGCTGCGAATATTTCAATCTTTAATGAAATCTCGGAAAATTTTGACCTAATTTACAGACCCCAAGAACTAACTTTTTTTCTTTATTTTATACTTTTTGTTATTGTATACTAATGCGTTAAATATAATATATATTCGTTCATTATATCAGAGTTCCTTCTTCAACTCAGTAGAGAAGCTGTTATTGTAAAACTTATTTTAGTTACTTACTTCTAAACAGGAATTATGCCCATTCATAGCTGCCAGATGAAGAGCGGTGTAGCTACTGGGATCTAGAGCTGCCAGATGAGCTCCTTCCATTGCTAAATACTGCAGAATAATAAATTAGATGTGTGAGAATTTATATATAAATTATGCATTTACAAATATTAAAACTCCTAGTATTTTAATATTATCATATATTCCTTTAAACCGAAGGCGCATTTGTTTCTTCATATATATGCCTCTAAAAGAAGAATGAGTCTTAAAATCGTAGAATGCTTTTCAAAGCGCATAGCGATTTTCACTGACGAGACTCGCCAATTATAGTCATTCTACATTTCGGTTAACAAAGAGTTCCCGGGGAAAACATTATGAATCGTAATTGTTGTCTAGGACCTTTCAACGACACATTCCAAAAAATACCTCCATCAGAATTCAGAGAACAGTTATCAACAGTTTGAAAGGAAATAAAGGAAAATGTTATCTTCATTTAAATCTTATTGAAAAATCTATTGATAAAGGAAAATGTTTATCCATTGATGACCTTATGACCTAATGAAAATCCTTTATACATTTGTAAAGGAAAATATAATTTAAATCTGTTGATAAAGGTAAATGTTATCTTCATATAAATAATATCATCTTAAATGCTCCTGATAATTCAGGAAACCATGTGCATTATGTGATAATGAAAATAAATATTGCTAATAGAAACAGACTTTGAATTTTGATTATAAGGCAGTTTACCGACTCTTATGGTTAAGTTATTTGAATATGGCAAAACCACGAGGGCTACCTACTTAAAAGGAAAAATCTGATATGTACACCACATGACTTCCTTGCACGGAATATTAAATTATACGCACTTTTTCTTGCATTTCATTTAAACTTATTTGATTGAATTAAACTTACTTCGCCGACAGCGCATAAACCACAATAGAAAAAATGCATTCTTTAAAATTCACTTTGTTTACCATAGCGACACTCTGGCGCTAGGTTCACTTAACAGTATTATATTTCGTTCTTATTATAACTCAGAATGCACAAAATTTATATCATTTAAAGAATTATCTAATCGTTGCCACATGTTTTATTCAAATAACAAAGCTAGAATTATGTATAAAAGAAATTAAGCAAACAAAACAAGAAAGAAACAGTTTTTCACAGACGATTGAGTATTTCTCATTCAATTAATTCAGTTTTCACTTCGCGATAAGGCAAAAATACATAAAAACTCAAAATATCTGTATTAAAAATTACGAAGTAAAACTCAAACACTTATTTCCTCGAAAAAATTCCAGAAACGATTCAGCATGATTTAATTCGTAATAATACACTCATGTCCTAAAATTAAGAATAATTCGGAGTCACGCGGAAATCGAACTCTAAAATAAATATATCACCTGAAAAATCACTACACACATCTTCAAGAATCATATGCAAATTTCAGGAAGTAACCAGATGACACCGATGGTATGTCACAATGACGAGAGTATAAGAGAGTGATATATAAGGAATACAGGCAAAGAAGTAAAATTGTTCGCAGGCGCTTTATAAGCATTTCAGTGCAATAACCAAATAGTTATGACACAAAGGACGCATTTGGATGATTTTTTACGTAGTAGAATTATCGGCCGTCTGGAATGTGGGCGTATCCAACTGGAAGTATCAGACGAACTTGGAATTGCCCAGAGTGTCATCTCCAGGCTTTGGCAACGATTCCAAGATGATGGTAATGTGAGTAGACGTTACAGCACAGGTAGCTCCAGAGTTACAACACCGAATGAGGACCGGTATTTGTATTAAGTAAATCTTAAACGTTTATTTCCTCGAAAAAATTCCAGAAAAGATTAAGCATGATTTAAATAATAAATGAAGGCGTTATCTTTGTTGTTGCGAAGGTAAGTTTCTCTAGATTGGCAACAAATCCGCTATCCTGCTGTTTCAAATGTAAACAAGAGCAATATCCGCCATCAAAAACATTATTAAGCTTAGCGGTACTTAAACAATTTTAAAATTGTTGATAATTCTAAAAATATTGCATACAGATTTACTAAAGGCATAAAAACCTTAACCGGAAGAATAAGAACAACATAATTCAATCATTTTTAAAGCAAAAAATGTACAATTTACAAACATATAAGAGTAAAGAAACTTAGATCACTGAGCCGGGTAACAGAGTGGATATATATAGATAAAATATTTATATACGTTGGTGCGGCCGATATATTGCAACCAAATATATACGTTTGGTGCGGCCGATTGCAACCAAAATACAGCATGTTTATAGCAGTTCCTATATACAAAATTTCAGCGTTCTGAGGTTACTCGTTTTTGAGTTATGCGAGATACGTACGTACGCACGTACGTACATACGTTCGTACAGACGCCACGAAAAATTCTCTTCAGAATTTATTTTAAAGCAGTTTTATAAGTTTTTTTGGAGGAAAAGAGTGTTTTATTCTGTCCTTACATACAAATATCACGGAAATACATCGTTAAATTGCATTTGAAAGAGGTCAAAATGGGATATTTTCTTTGAAATATGCTGCCTGAAACTTTTTGCGATTACAATACTTCCTTTTTACTTCATACAAGGAAGTAAAAATGCCTCCGTGGAGGACTTTCTGAGGGAAACTGGCTTATTACACACTGGTCAAACCGCGAATTCAATCATGCAGCCAGTCCTTTTGCTTAGATTCGAGTCTGAATTGAACTATAAGTATTCAGCGACCTTAACCACTCGGCCACTACCTGGGCTAACGAGGGCTAAGAAGCAGCTCATTCCGAGAGTGACTCGCAAGGAATTCTTAAATAACAATTTACTGATAAACAAGCACCGTGTTTTAAAAATTCTATCATAATGAAAATATTTGTTCATGTTTTAGTGCGTTATTTTATTTATTTAATTCTCTTAGAACTCAGTTATTTTTTTCATGTTGTTAATACTAAATTAAGATTTGCTTTTCCGAAGGGTTGTTATTTTAAAATAAAATAAATACGTCTTTGTTACTTTTTAGTATTTACAATCATATATTTAATTCTAAATAATCCATGAATTCTTTTGATTTATTAGAAGGTATAAAGCATATAAAATCTTTAAAGTATTGTGTTTTGCACTTTGGATTAAGTCTGCTGTCAGAGAGGAAAGGAATGGATGTTATCGAGTTTGAGCTTTTTTCTGAATATTTTTCATTTTTCTTCTTCATCCCATCTTTTTTAATGACTTTCGTAAAGTAATAATTTTCCCTTTTTTTAATACTTTTGCTTTTGAATAAAGGTACCGGAAAATGAGATGTGACGAGTAAAGAGATTAATTAAAAACTATAATTAATTCCATAAAACACGTGAAAAAATTTTACACTGAAAAAAATATAAATATCCAGACCTTTCGAGGTACTGTGAAAATTCCTTTGAATTTTTATAGCTTGAATTATTACAGTGGTTTTTCAGAACTGATCGAAATACCAAAAATATATCTTCTAAAATAATTCCTTCCTTTTTTTTTTTTTTTTTTTAGTTAATTGGCTCTTGATCTTCAGCTCATTTTTATGGACGACAATGCTAGTCCACATAGGGCTGGTCTTTAATGGAAAGGGAGCATGTTAACCGGATGGATTGACTAAGTGACTAGCCCGGCATTTATTATGGCCATATCTAGCCTTTAGCATGGTCACTGTATGGAATATATCTGGGACCCTCTTGGGATAGCAATTGCGACTCGCCTTTCCCTATTCGGAAGCCTCTAATATTTGAGAGCTTGATATCTGGAGGATTGGAACCGCCTACCACAAACTACTTCATTTCAAATTTGAAATCACGTTGTGAGAGCTGTATGACTGTAGGAAACCATACCCCCTATTATCTCCTATTTTGTTCGATAGTGTAATCTCTATTTTAGATCTTCCCGTGCTGATGAGTATCGTACATCGTTATATGTATATACCATAAGTGTCATATGGTTCATTTTTTGCATTGAACGAACCTAATTGGGGATCGGGAAGGTTGTTTGATGAAAAATCTTATTATTTCAAACAATTAATGCGTTTAGTTAGGTTTTTCAGTTATTCACATGTTACTTCGCAACCGCCGAAACAGATCTCACGGTCCCGTATGACGGTCGGTGGTGTTCATTATTAACACTTCTGTTCTCAGAAATACTATCAATTTTTAGAAGTAATTGCCATAAGAGATTTCACCTTATTTATTTTGAAAATATACCTTGTATTGTTGCAACTGTTCCAAGTAAGCGGACTTTAGTTATTAAGGAAGCCTGATTGCTCTAGATGGGTAAAATTTCGCTCAATTTATATTTTGTATTTGGGCAATTGTTATTTTGTGGTATTTTACATCTGTCATTGAACAATTGACTTATGCTTTGTCAAAATATCTTCCTCCTTCCGACGTTAAGCGTATTTTCAAAAAGTTATCCACTTAAAATTCTTATTAAATTATGATTAAATTTGTTATCTATTTTACAAGTACAAAATGCAGCTGGAAGTTAACCGTAGGGAAAGAATGTGGCGTTAAACAGTTTTGCGCCGGTTGCCTGGTACAAAATTGCACCAAAACTGGTGTTTCGTTAACTTACTAATATTCAAATAAGGTATCTCTTAGGACAACACTACAAGAGAGGAGATGAAGCATTGCTTGAGAGGATAATCGCTGTGAGTGAAACTAGCCAGTATTTTACCAGCCACTTTAGTCAGATAATGGTAACACCCTATAACCATCCCGATTAAACATATGACAAACGAAGCTGAGGATCTCAGACTGATGATAATGGTAGTACATGATTACTGTGTACTATTTCATCATGCGATTTCTCAACACCATATTGTTAATGCATTGTAATGTCAGCATTTCTAGAATAACAGTTTTGCCCTGTTTCGTGGAGTGAGTCGTGAAATTTCAGAAAAGGTTTGCCATTTTATTGCAAGGTAGTGATCGACCTCAACAGTATTGCTTCTATAAATACGATCTCAGTGTCAGATATCTATCTTATATCTCAGACCTGGGCTCACTGTATTAACCCATTTTTAAATTTAAAGATTCACTGAGAAAAAGACATTTTCAAAGAGAGAAAGAAAGCCTCCGGCATGCAAGCCCTTTGATTTCTGAGATAATCAAAACTAGGATTCTGGTGATATTCGGCGCCTTTCTTCTTCTCAGCAAAAAGCTAGGAATATGGTAAGAGATAAAACTGAAGGTTGTAAACTTATTTCTGTTCGGTAAATAATTTTTTTTCACGTACAAATATTTTAATATTGTTTCATACCTGATCCTCGTATTTTTGATAGAATTTGTTCGACTTTTAAAATTTTCACAAATTTCTGATAACTGCTAATTAACTATAAATTTTAAATATTGATGTTTTGAAATATTTACTCCATCTGGCTTACAAAATACAACACTTTCAGCAAGGTACCAGAACCAAGGTTATTGATGTGAAGTCTGAAAAAGAAAGAACTTCTGTGTAGTACTTTTGTTTTCCATTACAACAAATGAATTTCATTCCATTTATAGATATTTTTTATAATTTTAGCGCCCTAAATTATTTCATTATACGGTTACTGTTTTTCAGAAAGCTATGTAGGACATCCAAAGAAGGAAATTTAATTTTTGGGCTTGCTAAAGCTAATTCTAACAGAACTACACCAAATGCTTGTAATTTGAGTCAATTTTATTTCAAAACGTTTTGGAAACATAATAAGCGAATAATAATGCAATCTAAATTTAGTTTAAATGTCATTATATACAGAATTTGAGTTCTCAAGGTACCTTTCTATATGAAATGTACAATTTAAAACACTTATTTTAGATCTGTTATGGATAAAGATGTCAAATATGAGTTTTGTTTCCTTTGTAATTTTGTGACGGGATAATACACTGTGCGTACGGAAGTCTTTTTTCGGCGTTTATTATCGCAACTATTGATCGTTGATATATATTTTTAGTTATAAAAATGTTTTAAATGACTCAGAGATTAATATTTTCGTATGTTTAAATTTAAAAAAAAATGAATTTTATATGAAATTTATCTTCTTACGCGTTGCTACTATTCCTATACTTATGTTTAAGAAAAATTTGTACTCGTTGTACAAAATGAAATACAAAAAAATCTAATACCCGTAGGACAAAAATTGACAGAGATATTTGATATTAATACCGAGAAAGGTACACTGAATCTACCTTTCATATACTGAAGAGAGAAAGTTTTATATTTATACGTAAATAAAAATAAAATATCGTTTAGGAAAAGGGTTCTGATGTTAAGAGAATATGGAGAATATGCGTGGTGAGAATTTCTATATATCTTTGTAAGGATTATGTTAATTTTGTTAACAGTTAAATTTTGAGTTAAATTTCTTTTCCTATCGCTTCTTAATTACAATTTACCACTTTCGGCCAGAACTTAGTTTCAGAATCACGTCTGAATACTAATGAAGAAGAACGGTATTTAACCGCGAAGTTCTACTGTCTTAGTGAGAGAGATACCAGATATTCTGGCTAGCACGCGTCCGCCTTTTTAGGCTACTCTCTCTTAAGCTATTATTACGCTATGCCGTACTTTAGGCCCTTGATAGCTTCTTAGTCAATTAGCGTTAAGAGGCCAACTCCGTTAGAATCTTGATAACTTCGGCTATATTTCTTAAGATTAGTTTAGTTTGATTCTTAGTCTCTTAAGCCCGAGTGTCGGCTTTATTGTACAACTCCAAGACGGAGTTCTGTTAAATCTTATTTGAATAATAAAGGGTCTTTTAACCCTTTCCAAGTTTATTTACTGTCTTACGAACTCAAGCTATTATTCGCTTGCTAGTTCTTAAGATTCTTCACATCCAACTGTAACTTAAAATTACACAGTGGAGAATTCTACATATTATTGTGAAAAATATTAACCAATATATTTTATTTGAAAATGCGTCACGAAAACATCACTTCACGACCAAATTAATTGGACAGAAAATGCCTTGGATCATGAACGGTATCAAGTTTTTAAGAGGTGTTTTGAGGTAAATTATTGCACATATTTAACATCGGAGGCTTTTCGAAGTACCATTTAGTTATTCTCAGTTCCTTGGCTTTCATTTAAAAAGGTCTTTCCGCAAGTTACCCTTAATATCTGTTAACTCTTAATATCATTAAGCTTTATCTAAACGGAATTTTATTTTTAGTTGTGTACAAATGCAACATTTAGCTGTTCAGTTTGTGTACAGCCTCTCAATATGATTCTTGATATTAATATCAAATATCTCGGCCAATTTTTGTCGTATGGGAGTCAATAGTTTTGTGTTTTGTTTTTTAGGAGGAGTACAAAATCGTCCTATATAAGTATAGGGACCGCAGTAACGCGTAAAAAGGTAGACTTTGTATTTTGCACAAAGCTGATTATTTTTTAAAATTTAAAAATATAAACACATGAATATTTGCTTCCTATAAAACATTTTTGTAACTGGAAATATATATTATGACCAATGGTTGCGAAATTAAAGGCTGCATAAAATCTTTTGTAAATAAGATTTTCTTTTTCTGGTTATGTACGAAGTAACAGATATTTCAGAGAAAAAATTCCATTTAAAAATTTTCAGTGCGAAAGAAAGTATGCTTCTGAAATATGTGCTTAAATACGCTTTTTATCAGTTTATTTAATATTAAAAGGAAACTCAAGGCTAAAAAAGAAATATTGACGAAGGAAATAAACCGTTGCACAGACAGTTTCTCTGTCGAAATAGCTAAAAGTCAAGTTCGGCTTTTTTTCTTGTCTTTCTTTTTCTCATGTTGCGATAATGAAAGCTATGAGTAATAGGTACTTGGTTATAAATTTATGGTACTATTTTTAGTTAAGTTAGTCTGAAAGACTATGCTACTCTTTAATGCCTTTTCGGTATTTTTTTTCTTACACATGATGAACCATAAATTTTTGCCCTTTTAGAAATCAGATGACGAGGAAAAATAATTTATTTTATGGAACTTCTGTTTAATAGCATAAGCATATCCAGAAATTTACATTTTCGAGATATTCACCTTTATGTTCTTGGCGCTCTTGCAAACAAGCATTGAAAAACATGCCTTCCCGTCTATGGAATAAAACCTGCGGCTAAGATAACCCGCCTTCTTAAAAAAATGGGGAAGAGAAAGATTCAGACTTCTCGGAAATTATGTCGGACTATATGGATGTCGCCTTTATGAGATATCGACTTACTAGGAATTATTTCGTTATGGACACGTTTGAGGTATATGGCATGTGGCACATCTCTGCTGTATTCAGATCATTTTCTTATAACTTACAAATTCTTGCAATTTGGTCTAGCATCTAAAAGTTTGCACATTTTCTTCGCTTCGCTGAGAGCGTGCTTGTTTTAAATTCATGATGAAACCACTTTGTTTGAATTTCATGACACATGATATTTTTAAATTTAACAGTAGGGCACTGATCTACGTCTTGTAAATCACAATGAAACAGATACAGGCGCTGTACAGCTGCATCAAATTCGTTATTTTTGTAAAAGTGTTTTACATTAAAATCATGCCTTTCATCTGTGAAGCTTTCTGTGGTGAGTAAAATTCTCAATACCGACGTACCAGTGATCACTATTCGTGCTCTTCTCTTTCAAACGGTTCTTGAGAAAAACAAGTTTGCGATTTGTAAAAACTTGTGGCCCACCTTATAAATTATCTATTCACGCAGTAAACGGACAGTTTAACTACATTTTATCGCAAAAGATAGTTCTGAGAAATTATTTCTTATTAATAAAGTTTTAAAACCAAATTCTAAAATATTTGCTGAGAAATAAATTGAAGAGACCTTCACTACTTCCGCATGTCCATGAGCTGCTGCTAGGTGAATGGGCGTCCAGCCTCTCTCATCAACTGTTCTGTGAAAAGAAAGTTTAGATTATTTTTGATATGCATGAAAAAAATAGGACAGGCAAAATTAACTTTATAGCTTTTCAAAAAACTAATTAAATTCTATTTATTTGACATAATTATTCCCAAAATTTCTTCAGGATGTTAGGATAATATTTTCTTTTGTCATTTGAGAAATATACAAGTCTCGGGTAAAAAAGTAATGGCAGCATGTCGATAGTTCTGAAGAAATTTTATTGCTATACATATAGTACTTGCAGCCCGTCAATGTAATTGCCTTCATATTTTCCACACATTTCCATTTTCCTATCAAAATACTGGAACTCGAAGTATGCAATCAGCAGGTCCTGCATCAGTCCTATAGCACGGGTAATTTTCTTTGTATTGTACTTCATCTCTCGTAATGGTATCTTCTGTTTGGAGAAGAGATCATAATCGCACTGATTCGCACGGGATGAATATGACGGATGTTCCAGCACCTTGCATCATCACAATTGCAGGAGATCCATGACAGAGCTCGCATTATGACACTATGCATTGTCATGGAGGGTGAAACCATTCGTCAACAGATGTCGTAGTTTTCTGTTGAGCACTGGCCGCAGATGTTGTCTTAGGTGTCGAATCTGATCACCCTTCAGGACAATGTGCTGTGTCTTAATGCGAGCGCTATCACGGATCTATATTTAATTACTTGCCATACTCACCAGGCCCGTGTGAGTACGATCATTTTGTCAGAATGAAAATAAAATAAATACTATAACAGCAGAGATGAAGTTATCCGTGCTATGCGGTGGTCGCTGCGAGCTATCAACAGAAATGCCCATGTTGATGCTGCACTATATCTTCCAGAAATTTGACAGAAAGTGGTATGTATTTGGGGGGGGGATGATTATACTAAGGGATTGCAAGTGTTTGTGTCTGTTATAATAAAGTATTTCCAGAATTAACGACCTATGACTTCTACTTTTTATTTAACCCTCGTGCTAATTATGTGTAGTCTAATTATGTGTAGCATAAGGGTACCTGGATCATTAATTAATTTTACATTGATTGACTAGAAAAATTCGAAATCTGGTAATATATTCGAAGATATTGTGCCATAGTATATAATCTAGATTAAAGAAATGCTAAAAGTACTTCCTAAAGATATTGATTTGATATTGTTGAATAAAAGTCGATTAGTTATTTATCCATTTATTATTCAATTAATATTTACTTAACCCTTATTTGTATGTGATTTATAAATTTTGTGTTTTGATTAGTTTGTAAGGTATTTCTCCTGCCTTCCTAGCGTCCCTTTGTGGTGTAGTGGTCAGCACACCGAGCCGGTATTTCAGAGGTCCGTGGTTCGATTCCCGGCGAAGATAATTGCTAATTTTTCATCTTTCTTACTTCCAAAAATCTTAATGTCTCTACAACTTGTTGAAAAAATACCTACAGACAAATTATCAATGAATTGCAATTTCGTGACCTTTTTTAAAGCTATTAAAATTAAACTTATTTAGTTCAATTATTCGCCGATAGACGCAGTACGCCAAATTAATTGTAACGATTGCAAATAGTGCAGTATCTGCGAACAGTATTGATTATTTCCTTCTGAAGGTTTTCTGATAAATTAAAAATAATTTTTGTGGTACGAAACTAGTTTCTTGCATCTGAATATTTGTTTCTAACATTATTTTAGCTATAATTGTTATTGTTGATATAGTAAAGCACCATACATTTGCGAACAATTAAATTAAATAGTAAAACCTCTATAAACATCCTATTCTTGTGATTCGTTTTTGTATAAAGTGCAATGTACATTCGTATATAATATTAAGACAATTTTAAAGTTATATCTAATTTTATGAAAAGCATTGAAGCAAAGGTACTATTCTTGCCGCCGAAGAATTATGCAAATATTCAGAGTTGAACACATAAGCTTACACCTGCGTGTCTGCTAAGCTGTGATTGTGGAGGGAATATAAGAGCACGAGGGGGTTTTCGGCCATTTTGTGCTCGTATTCTTGACATTCGCAGTGTTTCTCACAAGAGTTGCGTAAATTTTAAAAGTTATCAGGTAAGATGGGTAGCCACGAACTTTTATGGATGATGGAATGAGATGGACAACTGTCGATAGACTGGAGGCAGGCCAAACATAAACGCAGGTGGCAACATAGCTCAATTTAACGCTCAGTGTCTTCTGCAGTTTGTGGAAAAAGTTTTAGAACACTGTATCTATACCAAAAAGACCTGAGCAATGACATGCTCAGGACACAATGTGAGTCTTGGTTGAGCAAGGTCAACCAGGACTCACAGCGAAGAATGAGGATCGCTATTTGGCACTTTCAGCTATGCGACAGAGGACTACTGCATCTGTCTGTCCTGTGAGATGTATGTAGCCATTGGTACCCAAAGTACAGTCTATAGTTGGCTGCAGGCTTCATGAGATAGGACTGTAAGCCAGAAGACCAGCTCACTGCAGCTTACAAGAAAGCTTGTTTAGGATGTGCAAAAAACCTTAGTCTTGGACCAGACTTCAGTGGAGCACTATGCTTTTTACAGATGAGTCAAGATTCAGCCCAAACATTGATTCTTGGCGTAAGTGTGTCTAACACTATACTATCTTTTCCTCATCAGAGAAAAGCATCATTATGGTAGCGGAGGTGTGATAATTTGGGCAGGCATTTGTTGGATGCCTTAACCCCTGTATGTATCTGACAAAGGCTTCCTGACTGCTATGAGGTATATAGAGGAGATCTTAGAGTCCTAGATTTGATATTTTGAGGGTGCAGCTGGTTCTGGGTTCCTGTTAATGGACGACAACTGTTGTCCACATAGGGATCAGCTGGTCGATGCTTACCAGTAAATAGAGGGTATTCGCTGCATAAAGACCAACCAGATCTTCTGACTTAACCCTATATAGCATGTCTGGGACGCTCTTGGGAGGGCAATTTCATTTTCCCTTATCCCTCCGAAAACGTTCCCGGATTTGAAAACTGCCTTGCTGCAGGAGTGGGATTGACTGTTGCAGGGGATCCTTTAAGTGCTTCTTGACCAGTGTGCCATCACGTTGTGCGACACATCTGCCTGTGAGAAGCGACCATAGCCCATATTAAATTCATTTTCAGTTTGATAGCAGAAAGTGGATTTTGGACATCCTTGCATTGTGAGCTTTACTGTTAATCTTGCGTACATAAAACGACTATTGAATTTTACATCTCTTTCTCTGTTATAAATGTATGTTCATACCAAATTTTATTAAAACCTGTCTATTAGTTTTTCATAGATTCGGCATAAAGTATAAATTATCTTAATTTTGCACATAAGTAGATTACTTTCATTTGTTTGTAAAAAAAAACACGAAATTATTGCTACCGTACCGTAGACGCGTAAGTTGTGTTTTAAGAAAAATTACATATATGTATTACAAACTTTTCTGCCAGGAAGAAAGATAAAAATTATCCTTCCCAAAATACGCTAAATTTCTGTAATTAAAAGCTGTGTCCGGTGAGGCATTTATTTTCCTTTTTGCCGCTCTATAAATACATCCATCTCTGAAAAAAAAATAATACTAAAGAGAAATATAACTAACTCCATCTGCTTTGGGTCTTTCTTGGTAAGAAGTTTAACAACGTGCAGGTCCCCCTTCTTGGCTGCTTCGTGGATGTTCAAAGTTGCGATAAATTCTTCCTCAGACAGACGCCGAAAAGCTCCGATTGCCGAGGGAATCACTTCTACCTCTGCTTCATCCACTAATGGCTGTTAAAGAATAATTTGTTTTATGAATTAAACACATATCTGACAAAAGAATGGGAAAAATAATGGTTTAGCATACATACTCTTTAAACTACCTTCAGTTAAACATGCAAATTCAGGTCTAAGTCTCTAATCTTCAGTTGCTTGTATTCAGTTACGTTTAAGATAAGTATTAATGATTGTAACTCGATTAATAACTTATTTAATCCATTCTCGACTTACATACTTGAGCTAGAGAAGCAGTCGCTGCAGATTATCATAACTTATTTTCTGTCCTTCTAGCTTCAGCTTACTTCTGTTATAGACGACGACACAGACCCCTTTCTGCTAGTATAGTGAAGGCGAAGTTTTTTAGATCTGCGGAAATTCCCTTGCTTAACTGTGGTGCCCTAACTTGACTATGGTGCCATGTTACAGAATAATCCGTCTGCAAAGAATGCACACGAAAGCACCCGAGGTAAACGTAGGCCATGTTGGCAATAACGAAGATGTTGCAAGAGAGGAAGATTTTTGTATTATGCAATTTTTTGTCTCCGTTGACGGCTGTGGAAATGCGTGATGTGTGCCCATCGAAATGGGTTCGCGTGTCACTTATGATACGTGTGTCATAAGTTCGCCACCACCGTGCTAGAAGAATTTTTTTCGCGGCAGACTTCTTAGTGGAGATGACCTTCTGTGTGGAGATGATGCCATCTGAATGCTTTAGAACTTTTGTTAGACAAATGGAAAGAGGCAAGTAAATAGTTGCAATCTCATATAAAATATAGGCCATTATGGTATTTTGATTATATAGAATAGCAAGGCGCTTGTTATTTAAGGAATTAAATTAATAGGAGAAATATTGGATTTGTTTTAATGTTTAATTATAATGTGCCTTATGTTTAATAGAATTAGATTATATTTTTGGATGGAATTTAGAATTCATATTAATCAAACTTTAACATAACTTATTTTATTTAAACAACCTAATATACGAGTAAAATATCAAACTTTCGTAAAATGAGCATCCTCATGATATAAATATATTCAACATATTTGAGACTGCATACTCTAGAAAATGCATTCTGACTTGTATGTATTGTTTCATAGATAATGACTTTATTTTACACTTCTGAAGTCCGACAGCATAGAAATCGAACTTCTGATTGCCTGAGAAATTAAAATTGCAAAACTCTGGTAATACATCCTGAGTTTGAGGGCTGGCAAATTATTTCTATGGATGTATGGTGGTTTTCCCCGACCCAACTGCACGCATAAATTCTTCACAGCATACAACTATGTGGGCGTTTGCTGATCTGAGATCGAATTTGAGGTACTTTAGGTCCAACAAGTCCTGTGAAACAATTATTAACTGCGAGCTAATTTCACTAAAATTTAATCTTATTAACGAGTAAAGAGAGATTCGTGGAAATTCGCGCAATGTTAAAAAGAGACTCAAATGAATATGCAGAAACTTGAGATGTTTCAAATTGTTTCTTGAAATTTCCGAGTAGTAAAGAATGCAAATTACTGTAAAAGACTTAAAATAAAACTCAATCTCATAAATACCTCGTCTCCCCGCGGAGCAGTTCAAAGTTCACTCAGACAAAGATTCCTTTCGAAGTTATTGGTTTGTAAACATTAATACTAATTCTATCTCATGAAAAATTGGAGTTGCAGATTGAATTAACCCTTAGCGCTCCGCACGTTTTTGTACCACTGCCTACCAGCAACTCCGGCACATTTTCGCAGCGGAATGCAGCATCCAGAACATCTGCATAAATCTCTTTCTTGTAAATATTTCACCAAAGAAAGGGATGTGACTATTCTCCTAACTGACCAATAATCCTGCATATTCGCCAGGGGTATCGTACCCATATTGATAATAACTCCAATAAATGCCCAAAACTTCCACCGCACGCCACATTTTCCAAATAGAATTACTAGATATTTCTTTATTCTTTAGAACATTTTCTGCGTAATTTTTTGCTTTTATAATTTCATTTACCAGTTCGTTTGAGAAAAATAATTTGAAATATTGTGTCGGCTGTACAATATTTGTAGGAATTTGTGGTCCAATGACCTTTGGCGATACACTAAAATGTATTCTATCCGGAATATTTAATTCTTCCGTGACATCGTGCCATTCATCTAAGTCTTCATTGAATGGTAGTTCTACGAATGGTAGTATAATTTCGGAACCACTACTTGAAGTGTCAGAACTATAATCAACATTGTCTTCCACAATATCTTCTAACAATAAAAAATCAAACACATCTTCACTATCACTCAACTCTATATTCTCATCACAATAATTATTTTTCTCCATGTTGCTAACCATAAAATGAGTCAAATAATGTTCCACTTAAGTAAGTAATTAATGTCAGTAGCGAGACTGAGCACGTTTTATCTACAGATAACAATTGCCAACGCAGACGATTCCGTAACATCTTAAGCCTAATCATGCTAAAAACATTGGGCTCCGCAGCGGAGCGTACGGAGTTACAGCCAACGTAGAGCTAAGGGTTAACTGGTATTAAACTACTATTCCACTCACGATTTTTAATTAGGATGAAAGATTAAAGGGATTATAAAATGGAAATATAATTTACTTTATGCTGAAAAATTCCATACGGCATGTATTTTGGCGTGTGCAGTATGTCTCAATAACAGAACATAATTGCCTGTTCTTGAAATTAATTATTCTTAAATGTAATAATAGTATATCTGTCGTAAAGTGAGAGAACAAACATTATAAAACTAAATTAAAATTTGTCTGCCATTGTATTTTAAAACGATTCTTGTACGGTTGTCAGCTTCTAAAACCATACAGGCAGACATACGACTTGCCCCGTCTAACTTCTAAACTACAATAAATACAGATTCAGATGAAGGTTTAAAATAAATCTTTTTATTAACACGTCAGCCTGATTTTTATGCAAAATATTAAAATAAAATGGAACACCCCATCCGAAACTTGCGCGAAGAAAAATTATACAAGAAGCAGCGACCGCCAATTGAGGTTTGACTCAGCCTTCAAGATTTCACAGTCACGATAGCCGCTATTTCTTCGTGAAATCGATAATTTCATCTATAATCGATAAAGAAATTTAGCAAAATAAAGTTGAAAGACATTAAACGTCAAGCGATAGCTTCGGAAAGATTCTTCTCGAATTCAAGAACTCTGTATTCGAAGTTGACTAATTTGCATCTTCATAGGAGTTGACGAAAGTAGACTAATCAAAATAAGTAAATTGGGGTGAATTAACATAAGACCCTACAGTTTTACTTTGAACATTATACCACGCTAGAATACGTTTACGTTACCGATGAATAATACTTTAGATAAATTTGCTTTTAACTTGCAATAATTGTGTCATTGTTTAGAGTAGTGAATAATGAACAGCAATTTAATTAGTCGAAAGTCAGCGGAACTAAGGAATCTTTGCGTTAGAAAATTATTCAGACTTAAGATAGTCACCAAATACTAGCAATACAATATACTAGCAAAAAACAAAAAATCGCATTGTTTTTCAAAATGTGATGATTTAATTATTCATTGCGTTAGAAAAAATGCTCGAGGAATTATTAATCAAATCACAGAATATGAAATAACATGTTTTGTTTAAGTATTTAGTAACTTTCTAAAATTATACTCGTTAGTTATATTTCAAATTACAGAGTATTTTAGAGCAAATTTAATCCTTCAAATTTTAAGGAATTAAAAAATGTAGTAGACTTATTTCTGTAACGTAAGAAATTTCTTTAATCTAATTATTGTAAATTATGTGCCATGCAAATAATTGCAGTTATTGCAAAACGATGTGCTACGGTTTGCTTAGGATTCCTTAGGATGTGCTTCTTACAATACATCATAAATTACTTTCGATGTAAATATTTTATAAAAATATAGAAAACATATATTCAGTATATTTGTTAATGTTTCCGCCTATTTCATTAATTTATAGTGATTATGTTCAAGAAAGCTTCATTTCCTTTAGATAGTCCAAGCACTCGCTTCATATCCAGTTATTTCGTGTAATAGCACTTATATAATTTCTGAAGGTCTTGCTATGTGCTTAGCGGTGTAACAATTATCTTCATCATAATCGGTATTAAACAAGACGCTTTCATTGCTTAATAGGTTCATCATACTTGGCAAAACTTTCTTCTGTTGTAGTACTATCTTCTTCTGCATCATTACTGCTTTTGTTTAATAATGTATCAGAAAATTTCATTTCGTTATAATGTAAATATTTTCTGAGCTCAGGTTTTTGTTTGAAACTGTAAGTATAATAAAGCATAAAAAGGCAAATAAGGAAACAGAAACACTCGTGCTTAGTAAAATATACAACATAGACCAAGGGTTCTCAACCGTTTATACTTAAGAGAAAAATAGGTGGTAAGCAAAGTATTTTTAACTATTAAACTCAAAAATTAAAACCCCAGCATCCTGCTTGAGATTTTTCTCTAACACTCGTAAATTTATGCTATCTCAGCTTCGTTCAAGAGTGGTGGTGGTAGTAGTACTTTGTAGTGGTGGTACTAAACATTTTCAATTTTTGTTTAGATGGTACGCGTTAGTCAAAAGGTTGAAAACCGCTGACATAGACGATTACCATTTTATATTACGCTTGTACACACACTGGCCAATGAATCAGAAGCACAAGATCAATATTTTTGTTGGACCACCTTTTCCACGGATAACTGCTCAGACTCGTTTTGTCCATCGAGTCTACATGCTTCTGGAGTGCATTTACGTCCAGAGAGTACCATGCATTGGGTGTTAAGCTTTTTAGATCTTGTAAATTAGATAGAAGAGGAGAGTGCTGTCGGATGCGTCTTTACACCATATTCCACACTTTTTCTATGGGGTTAAGATTCGGGCTATGCGGTGGCCAAGGAAGGTGTTGGAAGTTAGATTCATGTTCAGCGAACCAATTTTGAGCACTTCTGCGCGATGTATAGTTGCATTATAAGGTATTTCTCCCGCCTTCTTAGCGTGCCTTCGTGGTGTAGTGGTC